CATTTCCAAATAACCTTCTTCAAGCCGTGAAAAGCCAAAATTTTCAAAACTGCTGAGCGGAACACTGCTCCCGTCAGAAGATTATTTCATCACTTCTTATTTCTTTACTTATTGAGTCCTCTCTTCTTCTCCTCGAAGTGTGCCTTGTACAGTGCAGATGGAACTTCAAGCAGCATGTTCATTATAGTGTAGTTCGCTGCGGACGGTTGGGCGTGTCAGGCGGGATGAGTTTGGCGCGGTGCCAAACCCGTTCTCCACCAGTTGTTAAAGCGAGCAAATGATATGACTGTATCATATCGTTCGTATTACTCGTTTTTGTCGCATGCGCGCTTCAACAAGAAGGCAGAGAACGGCTTTGACGGGTTGCACACTCATACTGCCTGACACGCCCAGCCGTCCGCAGCGAACTAGAGTGTACTTAATTAAGAAACAATGCAAAAAGTACAAGTACAATCATCATGTCTACCAGCGAGAGTGGGTGTGGGTTGGAGCGCAGGGCAGCCTTTGGTTGGACAAGTGATGGCATTATCGTTGAGAAAGGTCGCCGTAGCTGCTCACCAATTCACGCCCGCTCGCACTCCTCCTCTGCAGAAATAATGGATGTGACTGCTTGGGGGCAACTTCTCTGAATTCTTGCAATATGGACTTTTCCTTATAGTTGACACCTGTTTCTGGGCAAGTTCCCATTTCAATACACTACTTATCTATGAGTCGGAGTGGGCGTGGCATTGAAACATGGTACAGAATAGGTTACTTGTGGGATATTTCTGACAACTGTCAACGGTCATCTTGTTGTGTGTTGGATAGAGACAAGAACACAATTGGGTCAAAATGAAAAAATCGCAGAGCCGCCACCACGTTCAGTTGAAGTGGCAGCCACGCCCACCACATCTCAGGGATTTCGAGTATACCTGGGAGGACTGAATGATCAATGTACCGGGACCAGCTGACGATTCACCCCGAATCAACGCAGTCGTCCAGGACCAAAGAACCAGCCAGATATTTCATTGCACGATCAATGAAGATTGGAATGAGTGGTGTTTCCTGCGCTGAAATACTAATTGCCACCTATTAGGCGACAGTGAGAGGACATATGTACGGACGGTTGCCATGTTCCCATCATTCTTCCTATCGCCTATTTGTACTCTACAAAATCAACTTTATGCATCATCAGACCTTAATTCAGCTGTGCCTCCTTCCCGCAATCAAGGTGCAACAGGCAGGCAAGCCTGACGCCCATACAATTAATGAGTCTAATTCAGCTGTGCCTCCTTCCCGCAATCAAGGTGCAGCAGGCAGTAGGCAAAGCCTGACGCCCGTACAATTTATGAGAACCGATAGATGTCGCGCCCCTCATGCTTCTGCAACAGTTGCCCAGTTGACAGTGCAGTTGATGCAAGACCTGTCCAGAAATGCCCGTTTATTTCACACTCAATATGTACTTCACAATTGCTTCGAACGAATTTATCCATTTTATAAGAATAGTCGCGACTTTCTTCGCTCGATCTTCTTTTCTACCTAGGGATTTATTTTAAGGAATCGACGAGATATTTATGCTTTCTGGAATTTGTGTCATCATTTTTATTCCGCCATGTCAAGTAATTGTTTTTCATTTTTGAAAGCAGTTGGCACGATAAATCCCTAAAGACGAGTACGGTTCATACGACTGGCATGGCAGAATTCCGCGTGACCCTGGGCGCGCGCTAACGCCTTTTCCATAGAAGGTCCTTATAGCACCCTATTGAATAACAACATACCACCCGGACTCCACCTTGCCCACCCACCTACCATTGGACGAATAGCATCACGCGCACGGAGGACGTGCCCTTGTGGGTCCGCCCCGTATCCGCTTAATGTAGTGCAACCGTGGAAGGCACGCAGAACGTACTGCAAGCCTTTTGCCAGCCATGTAAAACGGTTCACATCCGGGGGTAGGATTCGTCCAAAGCACTGCCGCTCCACCCATTCGCCCGTCCATTGTGTCTACAGTGCAGCGAAGAAATAAAGCCCCATTCCGTGGTTTTCCCACCATTCTGCCCCGTTCTTCACTATTTTTTTGCATTGCACTGGGATCTTTCTTGCTCTTTTTCGATAGTGTATCATGAAATTATTCGCTGCCAACTGCCTTCAAGCTAGACCACTAAACCGGCGGAAACGCGTGCCTTCTTCTTCCCATGATAAGGCTGCATTGCGTACAGGACATTACGAACGGTGGATTCCCCCCCCCACCGTATAATAGCTTTATGGCTTGGTTCGTTCGTTAGGTCCACGCGCGACATCGTTGTTGGGGAATCTCCAACAGGGTGGCGGTCGTTGGTCCGTTGGAGAGAGGAGTATTCGGCCCTCGTGTGAGAGAAAATTTGTTTATTACTTGTTTTTTCTTGTTTCGGGAACGCTATAAAAGCCGACGGAGGGGCGTCGGTAATCTTGGTGGGAGGGGGATCGCATTGGGCCTTCTAGCCTTCATTGAGAGATGTTTTCGATTTTCGGGGAAGTTTTTCCTGTTTTCATGCTGCATTTACACCAACGCCCTTCCCCCCTCCCCCCCCCCTCCGCTCGACAGCAAAACCTTTGGGAAAGGGGGTCTGTGGACTTGACCAACATCCCCAATCAATGATTTGCCCTGCTGTAGGTCTATCGATCTGTAGGTAGGGTATGTTGCACGACTTTGCTCGCTCTGCCTAAAGGGCTTGATTGGGATGAGAGAGAGTTCACGTAGGTTTCAGCAGATGGCAGAGGGCTGGAATTCGAAGGCTCTAGATGATTTCACTCGGCTTGAGCAAAACCACTTCGGGGGTTGGATCTTTCTGTGCGGAGGTGAATTGGGCTCGCCCGCACCATGCGGTGCAAAAACTTCTTCCAATCGAAACTGCACTGGGCGAGGTTAGAAGCCCAGAGTGGTTTCCCACGCGTTCCGTTTGGCGACCCACGCCCATGTTGCGGGCCAAGCCACACAACCTTAATCAAAGTTCCAAGGTGTTAAACTGTATGTACCCTCCTCATGCTTCGATTATTCCTATCTTTGTTGCATGTGGCGGAGCAGGGGTTGAAGGTATCTACGCAAATCCTCCTTAGAGCGACGATGCGGCTAGAGATCCAACACACCCTAGTGTCAACGACAACCCAAACATCAGTACCCTTCATTCCCTGAGGAAACGCATCGGCTCCTGGAAATGGATAAGTGTGCTGCCCGGAAAGCAGGAGCGCCCCTCTGAGGCGCGTTATAAAGGTTGAACGTCCAGCTCAGTACCCACCTTTATCGTGAAAAAACGATGTACACCCTTTCTGCACACACTCATCGATGTGAAAGTTCGAAGTTTTGATCGTATTTGATTGTTCGTATAGTTTTGCGAGCCAGCTAACTAGCTCCGATTTTTCGATCGAAGACAGCTAGAAGCGGCCGCCATCATGGCATGGGCTGCGGTAAAGATCTCCACTTGTTTCGTTGCTTCGCTCGCCGAGAATATCGCCACTGAATTTGTTACGAAGGTGAGTAAACTATTCCTTTCTTGAAGTTTTTGGTTTGGGGGAGGGGGTGTTGTAGGTCCGCGATTTTACTACTATGGTCTGGTCAGCCAATTCCAGGTGAATGGATGGATTGCTGAACTGGTAGCGGAGTTCATCTCAGTAGAATGAAAACCGTAACTCATGGCGTGGTTGAGACTCGCAAGCTACTTTCCCATTCGAAGACACATTCCACGATGGTCGCAGGGGGGCATCACTCGGGCCATTGTGCATTCCTCGTTGAGCCGCCCCTCCTTGTTACCATCTTGGGAAGAGAGCCTATGAATGAGCAGGGCCCATCAGATCTCGTCCAAGTGGCCCACGCACATGAACCCATTGCAACCACGATTGAATTGAAGTAGCCTAAGTCGTTTGGGAAGGATGGAGAAATCTCTGCCAATCTGTTCGATAATTTGGTTTTCATTTTTAGGACGAATCACAGGATCCGCTACGCATGACCTCTTGGTGTCCAACATACCAAGTCGGAACTCAATGTCCAGGTTGGCTTTCAGTTTTATCCTAACAATCAGACCTTCCTGGTTTATAAGAGAAACTCAGTTTCCCGGGTTAAACTTTGCCGTACATATTGCTTTATAAATTGAAGAGCGAAAAATAACTTTGAGCTCCGTGGGTGTTCCTTGCATTTTTAGACCACCCCGGTCGGAAGGTGAACTACAGTGAAAGCCCAGGCCCGCCAGGTCATGGGCACCGAAGCTACGGGTCCGCGAAGAGGCAACCCTGAGGGGTCTTTCGTGAAGATCTGCTAAATTTGACGATTGTACAGAAAAGTCACTTTGGGCTGCGTGGGTGGTCACTGGGATTACCTCTCGACCGGGGTAGTCTATAAAATGCAAAGGGCAACCCACGAAGCCCAAAGTGACCTTTTGATGAAATCGTTGCATTGGGCCAATCCCTCCGATAAACACCTCTCAGGGTCGCCTTTTCGCAGACCCGTAGCTTCGGTGCCCGTGACTTGGTGGGCGCTCCACCTGGGGTTCCCGTCACGCGGGGGGTATAAAAATGCAAGGGCTGATATTTGAATTGGAAAGGAGCCTGTTTTGGTCGAATGCGCTGTTCACTGAATTCTTCCATCCTTTCCGTCAATACTTAGAGAACCTATTTTCAGAGAACTCTCTTATCTTTTACTATAAGTGCTGTGGACATCTTCACAAGGAGTGCTGTTCTCATCTACGGGTCTGGGTAAGTCCAATTTCGGCGGTAGGGTCCCGCGCAGGGTACAGCATCGTTGTGCAGGGGTGGGGTGGGGTCGTACTTTCCCGGGGAGGGGAATGGGTCACACTTGTCGTTGGAGTAGGTAGGATGTCGTGTTGCCTAATCGAGAAATCTACTGTGGTCCGGGGAAATTTTACCCCTTTGTTGCCTTTTCGCGTGATTTTTTCCTGTTTCTTGTGTATTAACTATAGCCCCCTCTCGCCGCTCGACGGGAAGCTTGTGGGAAAACTGGAAAATGTGAGGAAAACGGGATGTAGGCTCTGGTTAAGAACTGGGGGTCGTACTGACACGGCTCCCTAGGGGGCAGCGGTCGTACTACAGCAACCCTTTCACACATCACTGATGCTGTACCGCGCCGCCCGCGTGCGTCGAACAGTGACAGCATCGCGATGGAACTTTGAAATTGGCTGACGCACAGTTTTGTCGCGTGCGGTGAGCGATAAGGTCGCGTGGCCGCCTTGTAACCTAGTAGTCCATTTTTTTCATAGCGGTCCCTAGAAAATATAGCTCAATTGCAGGTTCTCGTGCTGATTATTGCCCTTCCGCTGTTATTCATTGTACCGCCTGTGGTGTATTTGATGCGTCGACTTCTTTGCAAAAACAATCGGCCCTATTCTGCTGGAATTCAAATGACGACACGCGAACAGAGAGAAAGTCGAAGTGCTGCCAGATAGGGAACCAGAGCGTCGAGCATTCTTCATCAAAGCCACTCCTAAGCCGACTTCGACTTACCAAAACCATCTCAAAAGGCTTAATAGCCACATTACTGACAATTGGCCCACTCACTTACGTTAGTAGCCTTTTTCGTACACCTTTTTTCTGTTGTTTTAATTTCCCTTTTACTTTACAGTTTTCGGTGATTTCACTTTCTTGGTTATCGATACTTATGTCTTCATTCATGTGTCGCTCGGTCATGAACAGGTCATACGGTTGTATTTTCGTAAAAAGCACCAACTTGTTTTCAGTCATTGTTTTCAATGAGGGCAGAGCTGAGATAGTGACAAGTGGTCCACTAACCACACGTGCAGTCGCGGTCTAATAGCGGTACGGTTCCCGCCGGGTCAACTACGCTTTCTACCTCTCGGGTACGGAGAATCGATGCCAGTGGGCGAGTGTGAAGACGTATATTTAAATTCTTCTGTCCTCGCCTGCTCTCGCCCTCTCTGTACCGACCAACCACTGAAGGGCCTGTTCTCCATTTGCGCTCATTTCTTCTACGGGGTTTTTAGCCATCTCTTTCCGCTCAGAACACAACATTGGCATTTTCGCAGATTCTCCCAACTCCCTACCAGTTTTCCAAGAATTTTTACCGATTAGTCTCATAGACATCGAGCGAAAAAGGGGGTGTATGGCGCGCATGAAGTGGGAAGAATTAACAGTCCGAAAAAGCTTTCTGAAGGCCAATTAGGATCCCTCCCTGTCCCCTGCCCCCCCCTTTCACCCGACGAATATTGACCCTGACAGGACTGCACAACGGCGCTGTAGCCTGGATTCAACTACAGTAGCGCCCAATAGAATGTAATATTAAACGCCACGGTGAGACGGCCAAGACAACCGGTAGTTTGCTGTTCTGTCGCGGCGCGCGCGACGCGAGCGGCGACTACATTAGTTTGGGGTGGCCGTCAGGACTGGGCGCACCGGATTTCGTATAGACTATGACATAGGGGACACTTATGGCTATTTCGGATTATACTATATTACTTATACTTGTACTGCCGCCACCGACGACCCAAAAACATTATATGCGGCGGCGATGTCGCGCGCGACGCCCTCCAGCGCGGGGAATTACGATTGTCCTGTCACACCTCCTTGAACTCCTATCAAATTCGACAATCCTGGTGTCAACATGATTTGCTACAAACGTTTATTTACATAATCAGTCTTAAAAGAGACATACTGAATAGTTGCATAATCACATTTTCTAAAATAGAACAAACTATGTTATTCCATTTCACCAGACCGATACGAATAGAACGAAAATACGTACGGAAAAGAAGTGAAAAAACCCGAAAAAAGAATATTGTAATACAGAAATCACATCGCCCGAGAGGGGAAGCTCACGGGAGATGAAGGCGAGACAGATGGATGGAGAGAGAGAGATTTCACAGTAAGGAAAGATAATGACTCGACTCCGGGGTAGTGGGGAAGGGTAACAATAGGGGTTGTTAACAATGTGGAACGAGTAGAAGCACGAAAAAAGAAAACGAGATAAAAATCGATCAACACACCATTAATGACAGTTATTTGGTCAAGCGTACAGACACTTGTGCATTTACGGACTTGACCAATTCACTTGTCCGTAGCATTGCGTCAGCGAGACAGTCAACGACATAGTAGTGGAACATATGCACGAACTTTGGCACAGTAAATATCTAGAATCTCTGTAATAATTCTAACTTCAACGCAGTTTTACGGAATGTTACAGATTCATGCGAATGAAAAAGTAATGAAAACGACGAGACACGTGAACCATTATTCCTTGCTTGAAAGCTGCGGCGCTGAGAACGCGTTCATACTTCGCGATCCGATCGCTTGGATCGCTTGAGCGTTTAGATCGCGCGATCGGATTGCAAAGTATGAAAGCGATCTGAGTTTGGGGAAAGAGGAAGTCAGCAGCAATGCTGAACCACGCCCATTTCATGCTCTTATGGACCTTCTCGCAGACTGTTGACGCTGGATAGGGGGCGGACGAGCAGAGAATGGGAGTGACGTTGCACCGCCCACTGGTCCACCTCCAACCACCTTACCGCAAAATTTGCTACACCAGAACGGTTCAGGTACCCCATCTCAGAGGACTAACGATTCACAACAGGTGAATCTCTTCAGAAAAACAAAAAGACGAAAAAGTCATGCTAATGAATGACAGTAACACCAACAAAAAATATACAGTTCTAAAAAGAAAGAAGAGGAAATCAAGGAGAAATGAAGAGATTAGGATGGAAACGCCAACCAATCGCTCTCAACAGGAACTCAGATGATGAAGTCATAACGATGTCATCAAGTGGGTGAACTTCTCAGATTAGTTCCGCTTTGAATCGCTTCATCGGAGGCGGCTGCGTACGGTATTGGCTTTGAACTTGTTGATGTGGATGTGTTGTGTAAATACGTTGATGTTGTTGATTTGTAAAGTTCGTTAGCCGGCCGTTGGTTGGTTGAGTGGTGTAGACGATGGTTTCTGCTGTTGGATAGTCAAGCTTCGGATCCTAAAATTCACAAATTATATGCAACAGTTCTTTTGATTCAGCGTTTGTCCCACTCAATGGAGGGAGCCGCTCAAATGATATGCAACAGCTAAAAAACAGTTAAATGACTTCTACTCAGTAAAGGATCAAAATGAAGCCTTTGCGGTTTATCCATCCCTCTTTGAGATGCGACACACATTCTAACAATAAGTCTATTCAAAGTCATGGTAGCCAAATGGGTGCAATGCGGCCAATTCAATGATTTGCGGGGGCCAGGCGATGTACAAGCCAGTATTCCTGTCCTCCCAGACGAATCCAGGACCACGCGCGTGGTATTCGTGCCACTTGTCAGCACACCACCACTTGTTTTTCTCCGCCTCAGGAAAGACACCCAAGTGAGGATCAGAAAAGCCAGGCTGCATAGGCGCGACGGGGAGACGGGCAAGAGAACCGTAGTTTGCCGCATCGTCGCGCGCGGCAATGGGTGCGAAGATTTCTCACTTTGCACTGATCTTTCGATTGGACATCGCATCTCATGTAGACAAGGACTTGGTGGACACTTAGGTCTAGTTTTGATAATACATTGTCTCTCGACCAATACCTCCTGAAATCGTCGTTACTAGAGGGCGCGACGTCGCACGCGGCGCCCGCTGGCACAACTAATTACGATCCTCTTGCCACATACCCGTCGCAATGAGAGCGACGTAGCAAGTGGCGCTGCTGTTCAGCCTCTGTACCGGACCCCATGAATTTAGCGGAGTTTGTCACAGTAGGTCAAGTTTATTAGCTGGAAAATGCTTCGAAAAGCCAGCTAGTCTTGCATATCGCTGCAATATCCTTTAGGTGGGTCTCCTAACCGGCATCAAGACTGCCTAATTTCCAAACGCGTTGGACAAGTTCCAGATTTACTCACCGGTATATAATTTATTCCACCTGCCACGATACCGGACGGTGTTGTCATTGAACCAGCTCCTCTAAAACGAACTTGAGTAGCCCCGTCGGATCCTATGGGCTTCGTTGTTGTCATCGTTGGTTCAACAGCGGCTGGTGCCTCTGGTACTTGTGGGCATTGACCACCTCCTTTCGATACATATTCCATGAGGGTCCGCGAGCGAGCTGTACCTGGAATGTTTGGGTTAAATATAGTGGCAGATCGATAGTCGTTCAAACAAGATACGTGCCTTCGTCAGAGCGGCTTTTTTGAAGGTCCTCAAATAGGCCATGATGTAACACAACATAGAACAAGTCGATGGATGAAACAGTACCTTGCGATGGTGCTCGCCTTGTCACCTCTTGCAGACTAAGGTTATGCGGTTGACGTGCGGCTGCTCGAGATGCTTCTTCAGAATCTACTGCTCTCTGTTTCGTCTGCTGAAAAAACTCTCCGTTGACAGACGACTTGACTTATATCACGAGAAGGCTGAGTTATGGACAAAAGTTAACCTTCAGAACCCATACTTCAACCATATAACCTATTGTGAACACCACTTATGACAAAGGAAAAGACTAAAAATTAAGGCGCAGTCCTAGCTATTCGTATGGGCGGAGACAGTCAACCATCGTGCCGCCCTCATTGGCCAATTTAGAAGGACATGTTTGACTGTCTGCGCGAAAACGATCAACGTGGATTGATCTCCCGCAATCCTCTAATGCCCGATAACATTCTGAATCATTCGTATTGTACTAGTACTTACCAGAGGGTTCAGATGCGGTGCCACCAGAAGGCAGACGGAAAGCAACAAAACTGCAAGGCACGTGCCGGCCTGTGCTCCACGACGGGTACTCTAAAAGACAGAGTAATAAGTAACGAAGAGAAAATGAGGAAAAATTGGGGAAAACAATTCTTACCTGACCAAGCGCCGCTTGTAACTTTCGTAACTGAGAAAGAACTGACTGATGCTGACGAGTGAGTAACTCTACCTAAAAACGCGAGTAATCCGGTCTTCTTAAAGAAAAAATGCAAAGTGAGCGGAATTAGTGTATTCCATCGCCCTCTCTTCCACTTACCTGTGCTTTAAGTTCCTGATTTTCTTCTTGACTGCAGTCGGCAAACACGGTTACTTTCCAAACTGCTCAATGTAGTCCTGAAATGGAGATATATTGAATTATTTGTAATTCTGACATTTTACAACAAACTCAAGAATAAGTAGAGGGAGGAGGTATGGGGAAGCAGCAACTCAAGGAGTGAGCTGTCATTTGCCAATATTCCCATGGAAATCCTACACTCCATATCACGGAAATCGGGTGGTCGCGGTTCTGAGCTTTGTTTAGCCACCATTAAGACACGCACGATAATTTGTATCAAATGCGCAAATTAGCCCGCCGAGAAACCCAATCCCACGCCATGCTTTAAAGGAAAGTACGCAACCACGGACCCCATCTACTTTTTGAGATGCTGTGGTTGAGTCATTCAGCCGTTATCCTTTGCATTATAACGATAGCACTGTTGAGTTTACAAATGATAAAAACTATGGACAAATGGACGTTTATCTACCCCTCTCTACTCTGGCATGCAGCACACATTCAAAATACACAGAAGACGAACTCCGCCTACACAATGGCTCAAGACTGTTGTCAACCTGCAAATGAATTAGCTGGCCGTGTGAGGGGGCCTTGAGTTGGGACGCTCAGTGCAACAGCGTTGGTTACCCACCAAAGTTAATTCTCAGGAGGTATTCATGGGCGGAAAGGGCTGCGGCCTGTTGGCATGCGCTCGAGTCCTCGTCACGACCAGTGTAACGCTCGGCATCGTTTGCCAGAGATCATGACAGTAAGAACCTAACCGGGAAATGTCCAACATCGGGAATGTTGTCCAATTAGGTACCAATTTAATCAAAAGATGGCGTAGAAAACAACTTGGTTGGCAGAGGTCTATTGTACCCTGCCTGTTAGGTTAACCGAACAAGTGGGCCATCTTCTTTTTTGCAAGAACAGCACTATAATTTTGCACTGGTCTGCCCCATTCTGTAGCCTCACCGCTTCTAGATTGTCTTCAACACACTCAGTACTCTAATGCAATGCTAATTGCAACAAACTAATGCATGGCTTTATTCCGATCACAGACTTTCGATTGCCCTTTACTAGAAAAAGCTTTTTATCCTCATCAAGCCCGTCTTAACGCCATCCAGAAGCCAATTGCAAACCGGCCACCCGTCCCATACTACATAGCACGATTAGAGATCTCTGTCTCGCAAAAGTATTTCTTGAACTCAGCGTCATCCATAGCGAAAGCCAGGGCACGTCGCACTGGGGGAGCCCCAGCGAGCGGTGAGTGGTAATTCCGGCCATTGGAGGCGTCGAGGGGGGAGGGGTTCGTATTGGCGCTTTGAAAAAAAATGGCTTTTCAAAGACGCAATTCCTCTCGGTTTTTTTCCGTGTTTCAGACTGATGCGCAAAAACCGCTAAGTACCCCCTGCCCTCCTCCGTCCCCTCGCTCAGCAGGTGACAGATTTTCTTAGGCAGAAACGGTGGCAGCAAACTGGTCTCGAAGCGAGGATGCGGAGCATTCATGGCAAGATAGGAGTGTAGGGTGTGGAATAGGAAGGCAGGCTCGCTATTTTGTAATAAAATTCCTCCCAATGGTAGAGAACCCTGAGTTCCAACCTTACCTTTTCATGATACTGACGACAGCAAACGTTTCTGGTTATCGAGTATAATTTCGGGTAGATTTTATCCCGAATCTTCTACGCACTCCGTAAACCTGTGCTATGTAAACGACGCTCATTCGCGCTCTGGGACAGTGTATTTTTGGTGCCCCCTATACAGCTCTCTTTGCTCCCTCTCCAGAATCCTTCTTTGGTGACAGAGACGAGTATCCAATTAGCAGCGAACCCTTCAACCAACCTATTCAAAATGATGGAATTAATTTGACGAACGGCGCCGAGATCAAACCCTTGACATAGTTCTCTGGACAAGTCCGCCAACGCTCGCGATAGATGAATGAGCTGAACTGGGCGATAAAAAAAAAGAAAATGATCGAACACTTGGAGGTACTTCGATTACCCTCGCTGCAGCCTTGGGTGTCTTTTTCCATGTTCATAGAGCGTCAAATCGATTGAATTACATTGTACGACCAAAAAACTTCCCCAAAGCTCGTGTAGGTCCCCTGAGCGTCAGCGATTTCGTCAGCCCATAATATCAATTCTCCAATACCACTGAAACCACAATACACGACCAGCAAGTAAAAAGTGTAGCGCAACTGGGACAATAAGAGCGGTTCCCGTTGGGAACGTCACAGTTCCACTTTTTCACTTCTCGCCAGAATATCCGGCCTGTAGAAGAGGAGAATGGGGAAAAAGTAGGAATAGAATTCTCTCATATTGGTCATACTTCAGGCCTAGTGTTCTTCCATTCAGAATCGTTCAGATGCTAGCTTAATCAGAACCTCTAAGGCAGCTGAGAGGGTGGATGGCGGATCGAAAGTGTTACGGTTGGCACAATTGCTTAGTAAGCGTACGGTCCTGCTTGGAGCCCTAGATAAGAACAAGTGTTTTGCCCACAAACCCCCCTGTCTTGGCCCCACCATCTTTGTGGTTCCTTCACGGAGAATTTTGGACCCAAATGTACCGTTTATATTTAAAGCTCCGTTTTGTCTGAAATCACCGACAACGGAACTATGAGTAATTACTGCCAGGGCAATAATCGTTGGGAATTCTGAACTAAGATGGTCGGGTTTGGTCGTCGCTGAAGGATGGGGGTCGAATGTGGCTTCAAATTTTTGACTGCTGGTTCTTCCTCTTTCCAGGTGCGGCTTATGCTCCCATCCGCCCCCCACCCTCCCGTCC